TTAAAAAAAAAAAAAAAAAAAAAAAAAAACATTAAAAAGAAAGACAAGAGAAAAGGAAAAAGAACAATTAGTTTTTGAAAAGGTGAGAAAAATTCATTTTTATAACAGAAAACAAAACAAGTAATAATTTGGTATACATTTGGTTAGTTGAGAAAAGTTAACTTTAGTCACAATATATGTGCCTTTATAAAATATAATCATAAAAATATCACATAAATACTTAAATCCTCCATCAGTTACATATAATACTTTTAATTCTTATATTTATTTTTGCAATAATAGTAAATATAACAACTTGAAAACAAAATTTAGAAATACAAATTGTTAACTTAGCACACACGTTGCTCCCACATCACACTCCCTACACATCACTCCTTTTCTTGCCCACCCTGTACCGCAGTATGTGCACCTCTGTTTCCCACACAACTTCTACTTTGCTACCAATTCAACTTTCAGTAATCATAGACAACAGTAACTCAATATTACACAGAACTTGCAAAGAGAAAAACAAAAACTATTATTACTCTCCTTTAAACAAGGCTTGAGAATTTATTTCCTCATTCATCTTCTTATGTACTGGGTTTACTTCCTGTTTCCCTTAATTATCCTGATCTCATCCTCAAAATGTAACTCTGTTCTCATACCTATTATCTCTACATGAAAATCCAGTGCTGTGACTTTCCAGCTGGTTTTCTGTTGATAACAAATGTAACTGGGGAAACAGAGATGCACACACTGAGATAAAGGGGAAGGGAAGGATGTTACTGAGAGGAAAATGAATGTTGAAAGATGGCAGAGCAAGAAATAAAACGAGAAGCACATGGTAAGCAAATGTATCCAGCGGACAGGATTTTAGAATCTGTTTAGTAAGTTTGCTTCCTATTTCCTGACATTTCAGCACCCAAAGGAAGTTAGTAGGGTATGGAGATTTATTTCTCAGGCACAGCCAAGTTGGCAATACCGGGCAGAATCTCAGTCATGTGTACAGGCTTTATGTGAGGTTTACTACGTGGGGACTGAGGGGAGGTATTTGGCACTCTCTAGTGCTGCAACACACTCATGGTTTTGAAAGGTCTAAGAGAGGAAAATAATCATCTCTTCATCTTTATCCCTCAACTTCAGAAAGTCCCTAAAATTTGGTGTTTTGTCTCCACCTGCCAGAAGGCATAAGGCTTAAAGATGAAGCAAACTAGTAGCTGCTGTGCAAAATAAAACAGAAGTAGGGCCAGTGTATAAGCAACAGCTGTTTGTGACAAGGGATGTGCAAAGACAGTTCTTGAACTGGCTACTGAATACACATTCTGGTATTAGTTGAGAAATAACAAAAACAAAGTTAATTTTCAAACAACCAAACAGAAATGTTTTAACTCATTAAAGTTTCTCAAAATATGATAAGACACATTAACACATTTACTGCACTACAGTAACTACTCTTGCAAATTCCTTGCAAGCACTCAAATACTACTCAGTAAGGTCTATTAAAATTTAAACCTACTTATTCCAGTTCCTACTGGACCCATGTTAGAAGCTCCTATTCTTCCTGCAAACCCTCCAATCATTGCACTGCCTAAACAAGGATGGAAAGATAACATACTAATTAATTTAAATAATGACACTTCAAAATGCCCAAGGTACTATACTCACAAATAACTAAACATTTATGAAATTTTTTGGAAATAAGAGTTAAAATATTTAAAATACTACAAAAGACAGCCATGAAAATAAAATCCTAAAGTATTTTCTTCTAGTAACAAACTATGTACATAACTTTTAAAAAATTTTTCACCAAAAAGATCAGCTTTTAAGAATATGACCTGCAAAAGGAAAAAAGTATGCAACCAGCCCTACCAAGTCTACCAAAGGAATCGCCAAAGCCTCGATTTATTCCAATATCACCACGTCCGAAATCTCGCTCCATGCTACTAGTCATTGCACCACGGTATAGCTCTGAAAAGATGTGCAACAAATTAACCCTTCTTCAAGTACATCAATGCATGGAAAACCATTCAGGAATACGTCTAAGCTAAACTGAAGAAAAAAAAGCAAAAGTTATCAATACAAAACAGTCTGTAGCATACCAACTTACCTCATACACTCACTACACAACCCACCCCCCTCCCTGCAAGTGTCCTCTAGTGCCAAACTGCCTTTTGAAGACCCTGCAGCATCTATTCCTACATGTGTGTGAAGGTACATATCTCAGTAAAAGGGAAAGTAAAGATAAGAGAAACTCCCTGAGTACATTCACTTACCTCCCATTCGGCCAACTCCACCAAATCCTGCCATGCTATTCATTGCTTCCAGACCACCAAACCCAACTCCTATGAAATAGAGTAATTTTGAGACTTGAGTGTAGCTCTGTAGATAAACAGTACATTCTAGAAATGTTAAGTCACCAGTAAGTGCTTCCTCCATTCCACCTTTTGCAGGTACTTAACACATCACCTTCCTTTAAGGGTATATTACGCTCAATTTTGGTCAACAGCATTTAGAACATGAGCCAACAATAAACTATGACTTTTTTCTAGATTTCTCAACAGTTTCTAGATGAGTACATGCAAAAACAAATACTTATACATACCTCCTCCAATTCTATTCATTCCTCCAAAACCCGGACCATCCATTCCCATACCTCAAATAAAATACACAGTATGTACTTTCAGTAAATCTTACTTTGTGACTAACTAATGACATTATAGCAAAATAAATACCATTGGTTTAGTCACAATGGAACACTAGAGAAGCAGGTGCAGGTTATAGGATGGTTTATAGAGCTACGTCATAGTGGCTGACTAGTCACCAGTCTTCAAAACAGGCCTCTGAACATCAGACAAGAAAAAAAAGAGTTTACTGGTCACACACAACACCCAGTTGAAGAGCATCTAGAACCAGTATGCACTCTTTCAGATACGGTGATGTCACAATAGCAGATTTAGCAATAGAATACAAAGCAAAGTCTGTAAACACAGCAGTTAACAGGCTGGTCAGATTAATAACAAATAGCCTAAGTTTAGAAGGGAAAAGTACGATACCATAAAATAAACAAGAAAACAGGAGAATGATTTCCATCACTACCTTATAATTTATAAAATATGTATCAACTCAACAAAAAGGAGACTATGGCAAGTTTATCTGTCCCTAAAATGCAATGCAATTCTCAAAGGATGGTCTGGGAACCTTTGAAAGGCCAAGAGATCAAATTAAACTCCATCACTAAATACTGCTGGGTTATAGGGCTGCTTCCTCTCATCCTCTCACAACTACAATGTGGAACTTTCCATAAACTACAAGCTGCATGCTATCACAGCAAACAGATGCAGACACAGCAAGCAGTACAGTTATCTACATTAACCCAAACACTATAGAGAAGCCAAAAACAGAATCACTCTTCCTTTTTTATTAGAAATACTTTATTTTCTTAAAAATAGTACTTATGTTAATTACATGTTTCATATTATATGCTTTAAATATAATTTTTAAGGTTAAGATTGGCATCAGGGTTAATTATGACTTTTAAATAAGTCAATTTTTACAATTTTAAGTTTTTTTAAAATACAGTAAATATTAAGAAACATAACATTAGCAAAATCATGTTACAGTTTTCAAACCTGAAAGAATAAAGTTTGCTGAACTTAAAAGTTGGAAAACCAATCTCTAAGGATAATTGGGTCCAAGGAGCAGGCAAATAGCTACTTCAAAGCTCCCTTCCAAATGTAGTAAATTCAAACAGCCTGTGCTATGGCACAATGCTACCCATCCCACAAACCCTGTATTCCACAATGTGCAGAGTAGTACGCTAAGAATTCATCTACCTTAAAGCACCTCAATATGCCTGGCGCTCCAGGGCTAGCTTTCCCACGCCTGGCCCCAGAGGCAGTCCCCACCTACATCTGCCCTCTTCGTGTCAGCTGCTATCAAGGTTTCTTCATTTCCTTTTTCAAACTCAACTGACATCCTCCACATCTCTAAAACAGATTTCTCTAGAAAAATGGAACTAATACATATAAGCTTTAGTAAATAGCAAATAAATCAGAAATGTTTTAGGAAAAAACTTACCACTTGGACCCAAATTTCCCATGACACCACTTATGTTCAACTGGCTGGCACTAATAGGTTGTCCACCTGGACCAAGTCCCATTCCAATGCCTCCAAGACCGCCTAAATCACAAACACCAACATTACTGAGACTCATACAAAACTGTTACTAACCTTTACCCTAAAAGGTTACATACAAATAGCAGGGGTTCTTGTGTTCATTTACAAAACACCATATAAAAAGACTGTAACATCATTTATACATGAACAGAATTTTATGAAGCAAGGATAGCTTATGTTCCACTTTAAGGTATTGAGAGAGGCCTAACAAACTCGCAAGAGCTGGGCTGAGGAAATGGCTCTGTAAGTAAAGGGCTTGCCTTGCAAACACGAAAACCTGACTTAAATACCCAGAATGCACACATTTTTAAAGCCAGGAATGGTATTAGACATGTGCTTTCGGTGCTAGTAAGATAACAGATTGCTAGGACTCGCTGGCCAGCTAGTCTAGCTTACTTGGCAAGTTCTAGGTAGAGACATAGTAGACATTGCTTAAAGAAAAAATACCGAAGGCTGTTTTCTGGCCTTACTTCCACACTTGTTCATTTCTAACCCCTGAAACACACACACACACACATGCACCCCAGGAAAATGTGAAATACACTGTTTCGTGCCCCACTGTTGTGCTCTTCTTCAGGACGATGGGGCCATCAGCACCCTAAGGTCAGAGCAATTGTGATTTCTGCAGAGGCTTCAAAATTACTAATACTCTTTTGTGTAAGGAAGAGACCTCACAAAACGGCACTTATACCCCACAAAAGTTACCCACTGGCTTGGGAAATGGAAGGGAGGATAACACACATGACAATTTCTTGCTGGCAAGTTCCTCTTCCTTCTGTGCTTCTATAAATAACCACAATTAAATTCACCAATTCACCAAATAAGACTTGGGTGAAGTCTTTGGGTAAATTTGTCTATTGCTGGTACCCTCTCTGGGGTGAAGAGAGATTTGTCAGGCATTTCACACCAGAAAATGAGCATCTCGCCCAGATTTTAGAACCAATAAGACATTATTACTTTCAAAATAGTACAAATGAAAAAGTTGGCAATGACTGAAGACCTAAGACTGAGCAGTGCAGTGGAGACAGCCTCTAGTCAGCACTCTCAAAGGCAGAGACACAAGACAACTGTGAGTTCAGGGCTGGCCAAAGATACATTAACAAGACCCGTCTCAAACAACCAACACTAAATCCACTTTTAAAATTCCTAATAATGAGGGTCTAGAGAGCAGGCTCAGTGATTAAGAGAACTTGTTACTCTTGTAGAGGACCTGGGTTCAGTTCTTAGCACCCACATAGCAGATCACAAGCACATATAACTCCAGTTCGAGGGTCAGATGCCCTCTTCTGGCCTCCACAGATAAGTACACAGCTGATGGAAAAAAAATGCCCATATACATAAAACATCTTTTTAGAAACCCATAACATTGAAAAAAAGAATTTATTGCCTAGCTTTATCATGAATTTATTTATACTTACAAAATAAATGTTCTCATATCTATGAAGCAAATATAAGAAATTCTTGAGACCTTCAGTTGCCTGAACACTGCCATTTACCTATGTGATTAAATTTAGATTTTATGTCTTATATTTAAATTCAGGTTTTTTGTTTTGTACTGATACTCTTTAAGTAAATAAAGATACTGAAAACCAACTTTAGAAAACCAGAGCTATAACTACTACTGGGCATATATCCAAAGAACTTCAAATCCTTGCACATCCATGTTTATTACTGCTCTATTCACCACGGAAAGAAAGAAAATAAACATAGAAAAAGGAACTGGCCTAAATATCCACCAAAAGAAAGATAATAAAAACATGCTAATATACACAATGGAGATTTATTTGGCTGTAAAGAAAAATGAAATCTAGAGAAAACAAAAAACCTGGTGACCCTGTAGAGTCTAATATTAAATGTGGTGAGCCAACTCAGAACAACAAGCCCTTCATGTTTCTCCCTCATCAGCAGACCCCAGCCCATACTGTGAACATGATCAAAGTAGACAGGGTAAGCGGGGTCAAGTCAAAACTGCAGAATATCAAATATTTATTATATAGTGAATAATAACTATTATTAAATACTTAATAATGTTATCATTAAATAATTTCCTATTATTAAAAGGTAATATTAGGTGACAAAGGGGGACAGAGTATAGACAAAAGGACACATCAGCTAAGAAAGAGGTTATAAAGCTATTTCCTATTTTTCAAGATGTGTACGTGGATTCAACTTTCTGTGCACTGAGGCAGCAATAACCATTCATGCATTCCCAGAGTCCAGCATGTGTTCTTCCCTTGAGACAATGATTATGGAAGTTGGGATTTTTGTAATGCCGCTGGTCACTAACGCAAAAGGAAGCAGACATGACTAGTCACTAAGTCTATCAGCTACACTGCATTGACCCACTTAGAAAAAAAAAAAAGGCTAAATTTTTTTTTAAGGGATAGAGATCTGTAACCAGAATGAAAACTTTCTTCTCCTTCTGCTTAAAACTCTGTTAATAGTGCTGTCCAAGGTAAAAACGGTACCACTATAGACAAAGTATGGAGATTTTTGTTGAAATGAAAAGCATGGCACATACACACAATGAAGTTTTACTCATCCACAAAGAATGAAATTATTTTCAGGATAACAGAACTGGACATTAGAATGTTAAAGGAAATAACTAGACTCGAATAAATACACTTTTCTTTCATGAAGATGTTAAACATAAACGTGATATGAAGTAGAAGAGGGCTATAAAGGAGGAGAAGGAAGACTAAAAGAAGTAATGGGAGTGAAAGATAAAACACTGCAGTCTCTTCTCATATGTCTAATACAAATTTAATTCTCCATACACACAACATACACAGGTGTGGCACAAAAGGAGACAAACTATCTGGGGAGAAAGGGTCCAGTGAGAGGACAAGGAGGAGTGAGAGACGACAAAGGGAGACAAGAGATATATGAAAATGACTTAATAAAACCCACTTTGAACCCTGGCTATGAATGATGCAGGGAGGGAGGGAGAGTCAAGTTGATTGACAGCAGCTTAAAGATAGCAAAACTAAATTCTTGATGGCTATTTAATTAACCTGAGTATCTTTTTCAAATTCTCACTAATGTAGCAATTAGGGCTTGAGGATGAGAAAGATACAGATACATATTTTAAACTGCACAGGTCAATATGAAGTAAATGTGTTCCTACGCCTAACAGCACAGTCAGGCTCGCACCATTTTGTCGCTTCGACGGCTCAGTAATTACATTAATCTCAAAGAGTTATAAAAAAGCAAAGAAAAAAATCTTAATATGAGAGTTATGCGAAATGAGAAACTTCCCACTTGCAAATTTGTAATAAAATTTGAGTGAAACAGATGAAGGAAGGAAGGAAGAAAAAAACAGAACAAAGAGTTTAAAAATCATCTTAAGAAACCTATTTAAAGTTCATCACCTCGCTAGGCGGAGGTGGCACACGCCTTTAATCCCAGCACTCGGGGAGTTCGAGGCCAGCCTGGTCTACAAGAGCTATTTCCAGGACAGGCTCCAAAGCTTCAGAGAAACCCTGACTCGAAAAACCAAGAAAAGTTCATCACCTCATATCTCAAGAGAAAAGAAAATACAAATTACTTAAAAATGTAAAGTACACATAATAGGACAGATTTTTTCACTTATTGTTTGAGAATTTCATAAACATGTTTTGATCAAATCACTACCCCACTCGCCTTTCAACTCCCCCATAACTTTTCCCTCCCAACATCACATCTTTTGTTGTTGTTTAACCCCACTGTTTACTTCGTATGTATGGGCATGGGTGTAAGGACATCCACTGGAGACTGGGAATTCTCTCAGGGGCTGCATTCCTGAAGGAAACCAATTTTCTCTTCCTCAGCAACCATTAGTTACTCAGCTGGGGTGGGGTGCATGTGTTCCTTCAGCAATCACCAGGCTGAGATCAGGGCAGGGCTTGAGCACTACAATTTACTGCTGATGGAGGTATAGTGACGCTGACCAGGTAACTGGGAGGGAAGAAGGTTGCCTCACAAAGGGAGAAAGGGCAGTGTTCAACGACACGCGGTTGGTCATTTTTTCCAGAATTTATCTTTTAAATCTTCAACCATTGTAAAATCTCAATAAACAGCAAGTCACAGTCACACTGCAGTGAAGCTGTCTATCAGAGATGACAACTTTAAAATAACTCCATGAACAACAGACCAGTAAAAGGGGGGAGGGGCAATTTAACAAGGAGTTTATCTGAACTATGAATTCTCAACAATGGAAACCAGAATAAACTATTTTCAAAGTGCTAAGACACAGAAACTTGACTTTAAACCCTCTAACAAGTCAAACTATTTGAGAAACATTTACAGAGCAGTCAACACTGGGAGACTTTACCTATAGTAACTCCTCACTGAAAAAATAAAAAGCTTAATAGATGCTCCAAAAGAAAGTGAGCAATACCAGGCCTAAGGGTAGAGAAATGATAACAGAAAAAATAAAAATAACATCTACTTTATGAGATCTGAAAAAGTAACAGAATGAAAACCCTGAATGATAATAGCATGCAGTCATTAGAATTAAAGAGGGCATGAACGCTAACTTCAAGATTTATACATGCATAACAAAAGCAGAGAAAGACAAGTATTTATTAAGAACCAAAAGTGAAACACAAAATAAGAAAACGCAAATTCAACAAAATGACCAATGTGAGGAAACTGAATCCAACATCACATAAAGACTCAAGCGATTTTTTTAAAAATATAATTATACCTATAACATTTACATACATAGCCAGGCAGTGATGGCGCACGCCTTTAATCCCAGCACTCGGGAGGCAGAGGCAGGCGGATCTCTGTGAGTTCGAGACCAGCCTGGTCTACAAGAGCTAGTTCCAGGACAGGCTCCAAAACCAGAGAAACCCTGTCTCGAAAAAACAAAAAAACAACAACAACAAAAAAAAAACATTTTCATACATATACATCAAAAACAGTAATATAAAATAAAATGAAGAAACAACACACAACTATTATACTGAATATTATACAAGGACAAAATAATTACAAAATTACCTCATAATAAATTGTTTTATTCACCAAGAATTTTTCATTATTTATCAATTCCAATCTCTATTCATCAATTCTAATCTTGGATGCACTTGATAATTGAGCTTCAAAATATTTTCAACAAGAAAAAAAATGGTACATCTATCAATGTACTAAGAAATTTACCATTAAACACTTCTCAGTAATTGATAACCCAAAAAGATAAAATTATGAGAAAGGACAGAAAACAATTTAAGTGATTAACAAGCCTGATTTAGTAAACATAGAAGACATAAAAAGGGGCCTATGGTATACCACCTACAGTAAAATTTAATTGTTTCACAGAATCGCAATTATATGGACTATGTTATGTTACCGTATTGAACCTAAGTTAGAAACTAGTACAAAATAAAGAACTCATGCATTTGGAAATTCAAATTTTATATTTTAAAATATACAAGATGCAAGAATATTGTAGTAGTAATTTTTAAACACTAAACTACAATAAAAATTAATCCATAGCAGGACCTATGTACAGTAGTTAAATTTATAATCCTAATTGCTTATGTTAGAAAAGAGAGAATGAAAATTAGTGAAATAAGTAATCAACTTAGAGTCAGGGCAAAAATTAGACTAAACCTAAAAAAGAGGAAGGGAAGAAATAATAAAGAAATTAAATATACTGGAAACAAAGCTCATTCTTCACAAACACTAATGAACTGGCAATTTCTAATGATAATGAGCCAGTAAATGGAAAAACAATATTGAGCAGGAGAGACAGCTCAGCCATAAAGAGCACGTAGTGCTTTTACAGAAGACCCAAGTTTGGGTCCCAGCATCCACACTGTACCACTCACAACCACCTGCACCTCCAGCACCAGGGGATCCAACATCCTCTTCTGGCCTCTGCAAGCACTGAAATAATATGCACAAACCTACGTACTGATATATACACATAATTAAAATAACATCTTCATCAAGAGCAAAGAGAACTATGAATGGAGAGAAAATTTAAGATAGTGCTATACTAATAAAGTTTAACACCAAGTATCAGTGGGTAATCCTGACACCCTAAATTCAATCTCTGAAACCCATAAACTAGAAGAGACCTGATTACCAAGGGCTGTCCTCTGACTTCCCCACATGTGCCACAGCAAGCACATACACAAGATCCATGTTTAAAACAGTAAGCACTTTAATGTTGAAGACAGACAAAAGTGGGAGAAACCCTTAGAGAAATAGAAGATATCAAGCAGCAATAAAAAATATTAACAGTAAATAAGTCGCCCCCAAACATATGTAAAGGCCAGTTTTACACAATTTTTAGCAAATATTAAAAAATAGGTAATTCTTAAAGAAAAAGAATATTTTAATTTAGTATTATTTCTAATACTTTAAAATGTAAATCAATCTGAAAAGCAGAAAAATGTATAAAAGCAGTATCATACATTAAAATGAAGATATCAGCTTTATTAATAAAACAGAATCAAGAACAAAACACAAAACAGTGAACCGTGAAATAACATATGATGTTACATTAAATCTTTAAGTCAGGGAAGCTATTTTTATGTTTATTGATGTACAAATATGCACTCACATTACTAAAATTTATATAATAAACATATTCATGAGTTGTCCTCTCATTAAGAGGAAGACATTGAGAAGTGGATGCAGAGTTGGGGCATTTCAAGTTTATTGATAAAATTTTACTTAATTAGAAAAATCTAGTAAATGTATGACATACAAAAGTTACAAAAATAATTTTACTTCTGTCTGCATTTTTAAAATATTTTGTTAAAAGCTTTAATAACAGTAATAATAGTAATAATAATAATAATAATAATAAAAGAACATGAAGAGAAACAGCAATGTCCAGTAATGTTGCAAGAGCAATAGCGACTACAGAGCGCTTACACTGCTGTTTTATAATGCTTTAGAATATAGCAATCAGTAGGCATGTCTTGAGAATCTGTAGATCTAAATCTACTCCAGGATTTGTTTTCACTACTGGGATAGAACTCGGGACCCCATGCATGCTAATCAAGTGCCCTACCATTGACGTATACCAGCACTATCCCGACAGACACTTTGAAGTGCTAGTTCTACACTGAGTCCAGCTCCAGGTCACACTAAGTTGTTCAGGCTGGCTTGGAACTCACTCTACAGATGAGGCAGACTTTAGATTCTCCTGCCATAGCCTCTTAAGGATCATAGGCCTGTGCTGCAAGGTATGGCTAAGGACATCTAAATAAAATATGAAAAATAAGTTTTATATAAAAAAGTGTAATTCACTGTTGTGCTGGCTAATATATTTAAGATAATCTCGGAAATAAGAAAATGTATCGATGTCACATTAAGGAATGAAAACACAGACTTTCTCTTGAATTAATCTGACCAACAGTGATTTGAATTCTCCACTTGTCTCTGTATCTTCCACCTGTCTGTAGTTTGTAGTTACTGGACTGTCTACAGTCTATGTGTCTGTGACTGCCTGAATACTGTTCTGATGTCTGATTATCCCTATGTCTGCCTTTCTTTAACACAGATTTTTGCCCTGTATTCATCAACCAACACAAAAAGTATGGAATGAGGATAAAAGGTTCTTCAGAAATCTTTAACAGAACTTGCACAAGGAAAGAGACTTAACTTGACCCAGAATAGTAAACAACACTGCAAACACATATTATCAAACAATATCCTATGTTGCTCCAACATTTATGGTGGATATTTGTTTTAAAGGTGATTTCAACCTGTTGGCTACTTTCAGAAACGATTACCACGGTATCTACAGACACACTATTCTGGATTAAGGACATGAAAGAATACAAAATTTAAGATTAAAGGTAGATTAGGTTGTAAAAGCTGATTGCATGGGAGATCCAACATATAATAAGGTTGGTTGCTGCACTATTCTCTTAAAGACAGGTTAAAAAATCTGGCTGAGTACATAGTAGGACAGCAGGTTAAGTACATAGTCTTAAATGTTCATGAGGGAAATTAAAGTTCAATAAAAGTTCACTCTCTTTAAATGCAAAGTATCTTCATAAGATTGCATCATACTCTGTTGACTATTAGAGAAATAAAGGTTAAAGCATGTAAAACACAGAACAGCAAAATGATCATGGAACACCAATAAAAATATCTGGGACGAATTTTCAACATGGAAAAATGGTTATAATTTATTGTTCAGGCCAACTTCTAAATAACTGATATAATAGTCTGAAGCTACTTAAATGCATATACATACATATACATAAGATAGCAAGAATATATGTTAAAAACTGTTAAAAATGGTGGATATCTTATGGTAAAACTATAGGGTTTTTCTTTCCCTTTCTTGTATATGAACTCACCAAATACATTAGTACTTATTAACTAGGTGGTCAAAAACAAATAAAAAAATTTAAAAATTCATTAATAAATCTCATATTTATCTTTTTACTCTTTACCTAATCAGAAGCAGCAAACTGCGCAAAATTCTAAACTAATCTCAAAGGAGTGTGAGAGCGACTTCAATCTGGACATAAAAACAAACAAACAAACTTCTGCTTTGTACTTAATTTAAAACAAACAAAAAACTCCGGCTGTTTTCTAACAAGTTTCTACTTACGTGGTAACTGTGATGTCTTACTATCATGTGAACGGTAGTCTTCGTGAGGGACAGATTTGTCATCCTGATTACAAAAGAAAAATTATTATAGTTAAAAAACAGCTCTTAAGAGCTGCTGTGCTAGGAACACGTCTGAAGCAGTGAAGGCCGAGATGAGAAGGAGAAACTCACCATTTTCACATGCATAGGTCTATCAAATAAAAACTGCCCATTGAACATGGCTGTTGAGTCAGTCAAGGAAAGCCAGTTAAGATGACAGTAAAATTATACTTGCAGAAAAATTCTCATATCTAAAGAGTCTGAAACTCTCTACTATTTTATCATTAGACTTTACTCATACTAGTCTCTTCCTCTGAATTATACCTTAATTCACCAAGACTGACTAGGTTTCATCAAAAGCCACTGCACTGACATACAATGGAGTGTCAAAGTATGCACACACCCATGCTGCAGCAGGAAGGAAGAGCAGAAAACAAGTTCAGACAGCCCTCGACAGCATGACTAGTTCAAGTTTGAAGAGGGACTCTAGTACCTAACTAGTAACAAGACCTAGAACTGCAGACAAAAGCCTCATTTCTAAGCGATGCAACATTACAGAACATGAACAAGAAACATGCAAAGGTATTAAGTCTCACCAACTTCATTTAATGCTAAAATACAGATCAGGATACAAATTGCTTGAACTGCTTCAATTGCTTGCTCAAAAGTGACAGTGCCCATGCCTCTGCTCTTGCCATCCTTGTCTTCTTTAATATCTGCCCGCTTTACAGTTCCAGCTATGCTGAACACTTCTTTTAGCTTCTTCCAACCAACTTTGAAGTCAAGCTTAACATAAAATTGAATAAAGTTACATACAAACAAAATTATATTTTCCAAACTTATAAAATGATAAACTAATTCTTGCTCAATAATATAAAATAAAAAATAAAATAAAGATTTAATTGATAGAGGGAGGGGGACTTGATTGGGGGAGGGGGAGGGAAAGGGGAGGCGGCGGTGGGGAAGAGACAGAAATCTTTAATTAATTAATAAAGAAATAAATAAATTTAAAAAAATAAAAACAAAAAAAAAACAAATAAATGAACAAACAAAAAAATAAATAAAATAAAAAAGGTCTTGCTTAAAAATCAGTTCACCTATATCTACCTTCATTGAAATTCCCCAAATCTTTAAATTCCTCTATCCTGTTGTGTACATATGAAACTTGGCATCTATTTTGACTAAGGAAAATTTGTGTTTGGAAAACATTGTCCATTTCACTAACTTTCAAGAGCATAAAACAAATGGCAAACCAACCACAATAGGCACTTAAAACACCAAGACTACAAGAACAAAATTAAACTATGAAGATGAATAAAACACATATAACTGACTTAAAGTTAAATATCTAAGAATGCCACAGTTCTGTCTTAAAATGTTAAGCAACCGCTTAGCATTTAAAGTCTAACCTCAGACTACTTCATAATTTTGGTTTGCGTTTAGAATAGTTATGTCTTTACTTACTTAAGCTAAAAATAAACAGAATGACCTACAAACCTATCAGCATACATCTCACAAAATAATATCATGATGAGAGTTAAGTATCAGAACAACAAAAGCTTAAACTTACATTAGCAACAAAAATTGTGGAACCAAGTCTACCAGCCTGCAAATTGCTGATAACCTCAGGAGGAATGTTCGGATTATTGAGAATGGAAGGTGGCAAATTCACCAACCCAGACCCCACATCAGAGGTATGTGATCCTTGAAATGATGTTCCTGTTCGCTGCAGTGCCCGGCGAGCATTTTCTCCATCGGGATCCTACAATGCACACTAAATGTTAACTGCTAGCAAATACATCAGTGAATATATATAATTAAAGTGGTTTAAACTCAACAACAGCTAACCCATCTGGACCAAAGTACTGACATCTTTGAGGACTAAGGTTTTGTTTATTCGGGTCCCCCCCCCCCCCCCCGCCCAGGAAGTGAGTCCCATAAAAAAACCTAAGGACAAAAGATTTCAGACTCAAAAGCTGGGAGTTTCAAGTACTTTTTTCCAGTCACTGAGGCCACATAGAAACCTGAAATTTGTTTTGTTTTGTTCTTATACTGATGCAGAAGTGTGCATATATATAAATGCCCTTAACTCAAAGAGTAGCAAAACACTTTCTGTGCCTCTCTGCACAATACAACAAAAGTGAACTCTCACCATTAGATAGTCAGAATGTCAGATTCAGACTAATTCACAGCCTCTACCTAGCAGAACATACTACTGTAAACTAAGGAATACAGAGATATAGGAAGGTTTACTATCACGGGTTACATCACCCTGAACAAAACACAATAATGCATTTTCTAATAGCTTCCTCAACAATGAAAAGGACCTGTGACAGGAAAAGAGGAGGAATAACAGAAGGCCGAGGATCCAAGTAAAGAATTATAGCCAATATTTTTAGTTCATTCACTTTTAGAATATCTTTTATTAAAACAAAAGGCAAATACAAATGTATTTCACCCACTCATTCCACTAAGTAGAAGGCCAACAACAAAACTCACGTTAAGACTATATAAAATGAGAGGGCTATCATTTGCATGTAAATTATTATGCCAAAGCTTCTACTTTCTCATTCATGAACTCACAGCACTTGTGCTTGCCTGTATAAGATCAGTCCAGCCAACATTCTAACATGAAAGGATAACGGACTCAGAGCTCCTACCAGGAGGGATCTATCGGCAGCAGCTGTCAGCTTCTGGGGAAGAGACTCAATTTTCTTAAAGGGTCTAATCTCTGGCAGGCCAGTCATGCAACAGTGGATGACTCCCCACCACCACACACTCACAGGAGAATATGGTTAGCACAAATCAGACTCAGGTTTTAAAAATTATTTGGGAGGGACACAAAGAAAGCTGGGAGAGCAAGGAGGTAGGAGTGGATCTAGGAGCTGGGGGAGAAGGGAGTAAAAATGATCAAAATACATTAAGTGAGATTCTCAAAGAATAAAACTATTCTATCAAAATCTTTCCTGCTGTGTTCAGTCTGTAAATACTGATAAAAAAAAAAGTGAAATAAAATAAGGAAGGATGACTTTAAGAAATTCTCCAGCATAGTTGGAAGAACAAAAGAAGGAAAAAGAATGAACGGAAGAATAAAAGTATGCCAGCCTCTAATGTGTTTCTTCATAATAAAGAAATTAAAAGGAATACAAAAGTAAAAAAACTGTTGACCCAAGAATGCTCTAAGACTTTCAGTTAATAAATAGTTGGGATTGTTACTGCTCACTCTGTCACTTGACAGGATCTAGAATCACCTGGGGAATGATTTCTGGGCATGCTTGTGGGGAACAAACTGGATTAGACTAATAATAACTGCTTTCAATTGTGAGCAGGACGATTCCCTGTACTGGTTCCTGAAACGCACGGAATAAAGGAAGTGAGCAGAGCATGCATTCATATATCTCTGCTTCCTGACTAGGAACTCGGCTGTTGCAGGCTCCTGCTGCCTTCAACTCCCCACAATGATGGACCACACTTCAAAGTGAAAGCCAAAATAAATTCTCCTAAGTTGATTTTAGTCAAGTATTTTGTTACAGTGACAGAAAAGAAATTAAGACAGCCATGAATGTTTCAGGTTTGAAAAGTGAAAAACGTGTACCAAAAAAAAATTGAGAATAATGGTTACCTACACAGGAGGATTTAAAAAGAGAGCAAGCTCCTTCAACTATTAAAGCACATAGATTGTTTGTATTAACACGTTTTGTCACATGTAAGTAAGCACTATATATACATTACACACACATAAACAAATCGCATTATGATCTTAGTTTTTATTCCTCTTTCCTCCTTGCTGTCCAGCCTGCCAATCATTAACTGTTAATGCTATTAGTGGATCTACTAATAATACATGAACAACTCCTACTGATCTTCATGCAACTGGATAGAATTCTAAAAACTTGCTAAAGAACGCTGCAAACACCCCTTCATTAGATAACCATGGAAGCAGTCCTCAGCAGTTTTATCAGTCACTAGTTTGTAAATCAGATATTCCCAGGAAAATGACTACCTTTACTGAACATTAGCTGAAGAGTTAAATAAACCCTTCATTACTTAGTAAAGTTAAATTTGACCTTTTTTTTATAACCTTCTAAAATAGTTAAAAATAGAGGTATCCTACAACTTCGTTCTAGGGTTTCCACAACAGATCTGGGCTCTACAATATGCTGCAACAATCACATGACCTAAGCCTTTAACACCCAGTCAATTTTGTCAATTAAAAATAGAAAGATACTATAAACACAGTATGCTTAATGTCTATAGTGTCTCTATGGAGCCTTTATAATACTCGTTTCCTTTAAAGAGAAGCAGGTCCATAAAATAGCAAATTATGATCATTAAATTATTAGAGGATTATAAATTGTGACAAATTATTTAGGATGCCAGCACATTTCTAAAACCTTAGCCCTGGCTTATTCATAAAAGCAGCAAATAAATGACTAGTCGAAGCACAAAGCTTAAAACACTCCCTACCAAATCTCAGCTCTCTGTCAGTTGTGTGTGGGGGTTTTTTTGTTTTTTTGTTTTTTTTTTTATAATCATAATCCCAGGATCAAACAGGATTCAAGGAATTTGGAAGTTAATTCCAGTAAAGAATAGAGGACACACGAATATTTTGGTATCAAGCCATTCAAACTATCATCACACTAAAGAACAAGATATCAACAATCACTAACAGGAATAATTTTTACAGTTTACATTTACAATATAGTTAAGACTATTTTAAGCACTGTGCTAACAGCTTTATATAATATCACAAGTATAGTAATTAGAAAACACTAGTTAACACTTTGAGTCTTTACAACACTTCAAAGATATTCTAATATTTCTCCTATCTCAGTGACAAGGAAACTCTGCTGGGTCATCTGGCTGTTCTAGTGACAGAGAATGAGTTACAACCTACTTATCACACTTCATACAATTCCCATAGGTATTATTGGTGGTGGTATAATAAGTTCTAGAGACTAGAGAAGAGCGGTCATATACCCTGTCACCTGGCAAGAAAAGAAAGGATAAGCTGGAACTCAAAATCACTGTTCTCCTGTTGAATGCCAGTCAACGAACGAACAGAATCAGTATTAGCACAACATTTCAAATATTCAAAATAACATTTCCTCTTTCTTTCCTTCCTTCTTTCAGTTTTTCAAGACAGGATATCTCTATGTAGCCCTGGCTGTCCTGAAACTCACTCTGTAGACCAGGCTAGCCTCAAACTCACACAGATCTGCCTGCCTCTGCCTACCAAGTGCTAGGATTAAAGGTGTGCACCCCATCGCGGGGCTGCCTATTTCTTTCAATACAGACTTAGCAAGGATATGTATGCAAATGCATCTATGTTCAAACTATTATGGTAAAATTAATAATATAAAATAAAAGAATTCATGAAATCGAGGGTTATTCAAGCTAAGTATTACCAAGATCAATGACTCCTATAAGTGGTATTATGTAAAGTGCCTTCTGGTCATTTTTCAATCCATTCATACTACTACAACAAGATTCCCATTATAGATTATTCTAAATCCTAGACTCTATATGCTAATTTATAGAATCTAAATTAATTTTATTAAAGATGAACACCAATCTTATTCAAATTCACAAGCTAGTGTATTATCAAGTAACCAATAATCAATTATAATATCTATTGAATTTTCAAATTAAACAATAGTCTAAAACTAAAAATGTTTATAGGAAATAAAGTCTTCATCTTAAGTTTATCATCTTTAAATCTATAGGCCCTGATTATTTTCTTAATTGGGGGCCTCTATTTAGCTATGACACAAAATTAATTAAATATATAAAGAATAACTCTTATTAGGAGTACTAGCAAATCATCTATAAGAGAAATTATCACTAGCTACAACTCTTTAATAAGATTCTATCCTTAAAAGACAAGTTGCCAGAGCTAAATGAGAAAAAAAATGAAAAGTGAAAGGAAGCATGTCCATATAATATTTAAATTCCAAATACAAAAAATAACTCACCTCTTTAATATTCAGAGGTCTTCCACTAAGGTCATATTTGTTCATAGTTTCTAGTGCTTTCTTTACAAATTCTTCATCTTTGAATTCAACCACACTTAATAGGGAAAAATATATAAGAAATGCTTATGTAAAAAGATTTCTTATTCTAATCACAAGATTAATTTGACTTAAGATACTTTAAAAAAAAAATCTTACCCACAACCCTATATCCAGTAGATTGTCAATACATGCAAAAGAAAAAAACATTTTAGGTCAGTAATTGAAGTTATTGAAAGACTCTAATATTTAAGTCATCACATGTAATCAAGAACATGTTTTCTTTTCTTTTCTTTTTTTCACCTCCAGAAAGTAATAGGCAAGTGACCGTGCATTTTCTACAAAATTTTAAATCCATCTAATACGTTACAAGCTTGGAGTACACTTCTATTTTCAAGTGACTCTGCTTAAAATTAAAACTAGTACCACTGTACAAATTTAATCAACAGTAAATAAAGGAAGAAACTGAAGGTTCCAGTATACAATGTTCTTACACATGAGTATTTCAAAAAGATGCAATGCATACAGTATGTATTGAAATCTAATTAAAACAGCAAATCAACATGAATTTTTAAAAAAAATATTATTTTATGTGTATGGATGTTTTGCCTGAATGTAGGGCTATACACAATATATGGGTGTAGTGCCAAGAAAGGCTGGATGAGGATGTCAAATACCCTGGAACTTGAGTTTCAGATGGTTGTGAGCTGCCATGTGCTATTAGAAATTGAGCCCAGGTCCCCTGGAAGAGCAGCCAGTACTCTTAAATGATGAGCCATCTCTCCAGCCCCCATGAATTTTATGTTAAATAAAGTTATCTATTAGATTAAAACTGGCTGCACACAATTGAGGAGCATCTAGTTGGAAGCATGTAAAACAAATTACCCATGCTAAGGGAATGTACAAAATCATTCTTTAAAAACAATTCCTGTGATTACTATTCAAAGTGCCATTTGAATGTGATGACAAAGTTTGTATCTCTCATGTACCCAATCATTTTATGAATATGATGAGACGTTAGAAGAGTTTTCCATTATATTCTTCCGTATGCACATGCTGCTAAGTCAAAATCTATCATCAGCCTTCTAGGTCAACTTAATCATAGACATCATTCCTAACAATTGGTCGGAGCACTGCCTCTTGTATGGTCCTGAAGGCTACCAAATTAAGCTTTTCAAAAAAGTTTCAAAATTATATTCGAAATTAACACCTTTAAGCCACAGGCCTCTCATGAAACTCTTGGAAATATTATCAATTCAGTGACTTGTAAAATATCCCTGAAGACATCAAAATACAACAAAAATAACTATATTAAAGTTTTATTAGCTAAGAAAAGCATACCTTAAAGCATTAGAAAAATGAATGCCCTTTATGAATATTTGCAAAACCCATCATCCCTTTCAGGAAGCTGGTTTGGTTGGCATGTCAGACTTGCTAGTATAAAAACCTCAAATCTTAAAGTAAAACAAAATGAAACTTAAGTTTCCAAAAGTCTGATAGAGTATTATACAAAAGTAAACTGCTGAGGAACTTTTAAACCTCGAGCAGATTGTGGCCCATAGCACTTACCCTTGATTTTCCTTCCGCATCCTTAAAGAGCTCCACGTATGTAACCTCACCAACTACATAAGACATACAAAAGGAAGATACCAAGAAACAATACATTTAAACACCAGTATCTTGCTTTACTGCACACCTGTGCACAACTCTACAGAAAAGCACCTATTATTCACCAGCAATCAGGACCAGATCAACGTACCTCCTATCAATAGCTATAGAAATTTAACTAATTTTCAGAAATTACATCATCCACATTCTCTAAAAAAGCTAACAACCGTATTAACCCAATTCATACAGCAGATCATATTTGGCCAGCATGATGTGGTTGGTGAACAAATGCACATATACATACGAATGACCCCTCAGCCTGTCATATTAACAACATTAGCACTTTTCAAATAGCTTTGGTCAGCCTACACACAACAGCTGTTTTAAGGTGACTTCCTACCTGAATGTCTTCAATCATGTTTGCCATCAGTAAACTAAATTTACAAGTCATGCTTCACAGCAAGCCACACACTTCTAAATAAAGTCAGTGAATAAAACCAGTCAAATAGTTGTCACCTTACAACAGATACACCAATGCAATTAAAAAAATTATTAGAGAAGATCACCCTCAAAGCCAAGTACATAGTTTGCAGGACTGTTGAACCTCAATTTTTCAAGAGATAACAGAACTAACTTTTACAAGATCAAGTATTGAAATTATTTTCCCCCAAAACCAAGCATGTGCATAAGATGAAGGTTTTCAGGTTATCCTGAAAACAAAACTGCAGCAGCAGTCACACAAATTTAGTACAGAACTGCAAAGACAGCATCATGGCAGTCGTGACAATGCAAGCAAAATGAATTCCACAGCCAGATTCCAGACTCCACCAAAAACATCTTTGGGGGAAAAAAAGAATCGACCTTATTATACATACATTAACAAGCGAGATGCATTGCTTAACTAATGCAACAGTCCTTTAAAATCTATAAAAACTTCAACTAGACAAAGCAATCACTTTAACAAAATTCTTGGTGGCATGCAGATGCTGGCTTCACTATCCACTAAAATGGCAAAAAGAAAAGTATTTCATTTATCCATACTTCCTTGTAACGAAATTGCCAGGTGGAAGAAAAAGAAAAGATTAATTCACATGTCAAGAAAGAAAAGTCTTTTTTTTTTTCTGAGTCTGTGTGGCTAAGAGGAATAAAAAGTTTGCTTATCTCCTCCCCTTCTTAGATGACAATTACAATAGTAAGTTACTGCAGAAATCGTTACCTTTTTCTCTCATCAGGTCTTTAATAGCCTGCCATTTCATGTCATAGGGGATGTTGCTAATAAACACTCGGTTCCGATTTGGACCTTTCTTTTCTCCAGTACCCGAATTCTTATCTTTTGAATAGGGATGAAATCGATTGGCCTTCTTATTTCCCGTCGACTTTTCTTTTAAATCAGATTTTTCTTCTTTCACTGATTCATCATTCTCCCTGTGAATTATAAGACAAATAAAAGCGTCTTCAACTGAACTTCTAAGAACAGAGCTCTTCAATCCCTCACATCTGTGGCTTCACAAATCTCTCACTTAAGCTAGAAGCTGGAGGTCAGCCTGGGGCCCCATGCTGTTCAAGCGTATCAATTTTTCAGTTAACAGTTGGCAGTTTTCTTCTCTGTTAATAGGTGTAAGCATCCCCAAACCCAGTTTTTCCCAGCATACTATTCAATAAATATTATTAGACCCTAAAGCAGAGGCATGTGAGTTATCTCAACATCACATTTACGTAAGAATTAATTTTGGGCTTCATTCAACTCTAAAACCCAATTCGGGCCATCAAGAGGACACTTGAGCAGGAACCTGATGATCTGAGTTCAAAACCAGAACCCATGTTAAAGATGGAAGGAGAGAATTGACTATACAAATCTTTCCTCTGATGTCAGTATGTTCACACGTCATACACATACATCATATAAACTAACACCCCCACTCACACAAATGTGCAAAATGATAAAAAAAAATAGTATCTTAACTAAATTAAAATTTAAAAACTAGCTCCTACTTGATGCATGGTGATACTTATAATTCTAGCACTCAGGGAGACAGAAACAGAAAGATTACCACAAGTTTCAAGACAGCCTAGTCTATACACTAAGTTCTAAGCTAACCAGCCAAACCAGAGCTATATAGTCAAGATTCTGCACCCCTCTCCCCAAAAGAAAATAAATGAATAAACAAACTAAAATGATTAACTGAAAATTTTATTACTTACAGATTAGTAAGTTTTCCCTAGAATTTTCTCCTTCCCGTAAAATCATAATCAAAATACAGTCATCTCTATCTACCTATTTAATACATGCATGTACTCATATTCACTACATGTCAAGTTTTATTTATTCCCCACTTTGATAAACAGAAAATGTAAAAGGTATCCTAATATCTTCATGTTGAACATAGGCTAGGACACTTGATAGAATTATCTCTTTTACTAGTAATGCTATTTATAATACGAGGATAGAGTTGAGGAGGGGGAGATAATTAAACACATCATGAGGCAGAATCTACCAATTTTTTAAATGGGGCTAATTGGGAAAAATTAATTTTTAAGACTTTTCTTGCAATGCAAGTTTTATGATGTCACATATCAACATAGGAATAGATAAGATATGGATATATATAAAGCAATCCTTGCAGATAAAAATCTGGATTAGATTTAAAATACAATTTATATTTTTAAAGTAAAATGCAAGTGTATGCAAGTGCACATGCACACCTGTGAGCAAGTGTATGGAGACCAGAGGACAGCCTCAGAAATATCATTCTTATCTTTGAGATAATGTCTGCCTTGGGACTGATGCTCACCAAATTGGCAAGACTGGCTAGCCAGGGAGATGCAGGCATCCTCCTGTCTCCTTCTCCCCAGTACTGGTATTACAAGGACACACTTCCATGCCCAGAACTTTCATATTACACTGGAGCTCACACTTAGGTCTTCACTGCACATAAGGCAAGCACTTTTCAACTGGGCTAGCTCCCCAAGCCGTGAAAGCAATCGTATTACATAACAGTGGATTTAACTCACGGATTGCTTTAGTCAATCTAAGGTAAATTCATGAACAAAATCATTTTAAGGCAATTTTTATAAACTTTAATGTGTCAAAATCTCTAAGAATAACGAGCAAGAAAACAGATTTTTTTTGAAACTTAATGGATTATCCTAACAACAAACCAAATATCATAATCTAGGCTATGAAGTCTAAGATGAGCAATTTTAGAAAGCTATAAACAAACTTCTTACAGCATTAATATGGGAATTTTACTTCTTAAGACACCACTCTCCTGAAGGGTAACAATATCCTTTGGTATCCACACTGTATCTAGCATGGTGACTGACTATGATTTGTGCTGGATAAACTGCAATTTTCTATTATCAGTTAAAAACCCAGACTCTGGAGATTGGGAAGATGGCTCATGGCTCAGTCGGTAAACTCTTGATATGCAAAACTGGGTGCCAAGGTTTGGCTCTCCCGCACCCACATAAGAAGCTGGACGTGGAAATACACATCTGTAACTCCACAGCTGGGGGGTAGAGACAGGTGGATTCCTGAACCTCACTGTCCAGCCAGGCTAGCCAAATCAGTGAGCTTTAGGTACAGTGAGAAACCTCGCAGGAAGTACACCCGTATACACACACACACACACACACACACCTAAACTCACTGAAAATGGTGATACATGACTGTAATACCAGCACTCAAGAGGTAGAAGCAAAAAGATTGCCAAGAGCTGAAGACCAGTCTGGACTATGCAGCCCAACATAGGCAGGACCTGATCTCAAAAACAAAGAGAAATGCTCAAACAATCAAGAAAGAAACATTAGTACCAAACTTGCTTCACCACCTATTCATATTTTGACAGGGACATTTCTCTATCTATCTTATTCTTTCATAAAAAATGGCAAGACCTGAAAGGTGTCTTCTCATTGTTCAACTCTAGAATGCATCTGTGAACAGAGTGGCATTTCTGAGAATAGAAGCAAGCAGCCAAAATTTACAAGGCCTCTTCTCTGGTTCCTAGCGACAGCAGACTTAACAAACCTTTCTTTTTAATTCCCCTGAAGAACTATCTGCATAATAATGTGCTTCCACTGAATTCACTGAATGTTTCCAGTCTGGGGTCAGGTAAGAAGATATCTAGCCTTTTGATAAGTATCCTTCCAAGCTGCTTTTATCCTTGATGAAATCAAAAAATGCACAGAATTCTGAAGTACTAAGTTCCTCCCTTACTCACCTTGCTGAAGGTTAAGTGACTGTGATAACCATTTGCTCTTGGTCATTCATTAAAAAAAAAAATTATTAAGGAATTTTTTGTTTACTTAAAGGATAACCAGGGAGCAACTAAAGGTTTCTCAAAAAAACAGAAACCGAACTATCAAATAACCGACCTACTAATCCCACTTTTTGAATATAAACAAAGGAAATAAAATCATCTCACCATTCTGAACTCATACTGTATCACTCACAGTAACTTAAGATGTGAAACTGAACCAAAAATCTGCTAATCCATTAATTAATGGTTAAAGAAAAGAAAGGTGTGAGAATGTATATATTCTGGATGTATACATACAGGCGCAAACTCACACACATACGAGAGAGAGAGAGAGAGAGAGAGAGAGAGAGAGAGAGAGAGAGAGAGACCCAGTCTTTAGAAGGAAAGCCTGGAAGACCATGTGCTAAGCGAAGTAAACCAGACACAGAAAACCAAATACTGCATGATAACTAAATCAGAGTACAACGATCATCACCAGAAGTATAAGATGTCTGCCTAAGAAAATAAAGTTTCAGTTACCAAGGGAGTTCTAGAGCCAATATATAGTACAATAACTATAGTTAATAATGACACATTGTACACTAGAAAATCAGAGAATACATCATAAATATTTGCAACACTTTTATATTAGCTCAATTATAATAATCATATAATATTTAGAGCAAATCAAAACATGCTATTTATCTTCAATATACAGTTTTTATTTTCTAATTATAACTCAGCAAAGCTAAGGGACAAAGATCACAGTTGTAATCTTCACTCATGATAAAACTGATGCTTTATTAGTAAACACTTCACAATGCCCCAATGCTGGATATTTTTAAGTAGCACAACAGAAACACATTTATAATTACACAAAACTAACGAAGAGTCACAATACAATTGCTGCTTTTCTTCCAACTTATTTTGGGAAGGAAACAAGTATCTTTAATTCCTGTCTAAAGAACAAGCCAACTAAATCTTTTGCGTGAGTTTCATGATCCCAAAAGTTCTCCCTGTATGTCTTCAACAGATACTCACTGGACCTTTAACATTTAAGGCCTCAAGGTACAACAATGAAAAAGACTATGGATTAATTCAAATTCAATCCTGATGACAGTAGCACTTAGTTCATGTCTAAGCAGCGCATGTTGTAAAGCAGCATCTGGTCATCACAATTATTTTAATGAATTGTTATCATTAAAAGCATGGCAATCAGCCCAAAGTTTAGGGTTGTCAACCATCCCTATGGTTCTCAGTATATCGACATTAAGATTTAAGGCCCTACTTTTTCACTGTGAGTATCTCATGATGGCCCATCAGATAACAATAAATCCTTTAGGAGCATACTGGTCTCTACTCAACATTGGGAAGAAAGGGAAAGAATGAACTGGAAAATGGAAACATTCTGGATTTACTGTTGACACCCCCCCCCCATATTTTGTCTCCTGAAATTAGAAAATGGTTCTTTCCCACCTTTTCCCATCCTGCAATACAACTGTTGTTGGCGCTATATTTTCAGATCTAATAGAGGTTTTACAGACCAGCTTCACAAGTACCAACATCATAGGACTCAAAAATTATTCTCTTCCAGAGTAAGGGGGTGGCACTCCCATGCTTAAGACAGAAATTAATGATACACACCTGCTATCCCTGAGCCCCATTCCGCCCACAGATAAAGTTCACATAAGCTCTAGTACCTTTACCCAAAATGGCAGTGTTTACATGCGACTTAAAACACAGGGCGGTGGTGGCGCAAGCCTTTAATCCCAGCACTTGGATCTAGGGTGATAAATCATGTCAATAACTAATAATGAAAGGCTCCTACAATCTACACCCCAGAGGCACTGCAGAGCTCATCTTGAATAAGACCAGGTAGTAGCCGGGCGGTGGTGGCGCACGCCTTTAATCCCAGCACTTGGGAGACAGAGGCAGGCGGATCTCTGTGAGTTCAAGACCAGCCTGGTCTACAAGAGCTAGTTCCAGGACAGGCTCCAAAACCACAGAGAAACCCTGTCTCGAAAAACCAAAAATAAAAAATTTAAAAAATAATAATAATAAAAAACACAGGATCGCACATACTCTAAGCTCTTTGTTACTTATGCTTACCTTCCATACAGATACAATATGGGGGGTATTTTCAAATCATGACCAAATCTATGGAGACAGAACCCAAAGACATGCAGGCTGACTAGTATTGGTAGTTATTCCAATGGGTTTTTTTTTTCTTTCTATTTTTAATGGCAAGTCCATAAAGGCCCACGATCTAAGTGAGGCTCTAGGCCTCACTTGCGCTCTGACTTCTCGATGGTGCAGCAACATGCACACGTTCCACCCAGGAACAAACTGCACTGAGTTCTAATCTTGGATACCTGCTAAACTTGGTTCTGCTCTGAAAATGTTGCCTGTCCAAATGTCCAAAGCTAAAGTCCCCAGTTAACATCTAGCCAACTCAAAGGTAACACAATGGATTCTAAATAATGGCACATTAGTAAGATGCCTCTCAACATACATCATTTCAAAAATGAATATACGCTTCAGCAAACACCAACCACTGAACTTCCAAAGTTCAGGATGGGCCCCAGGGAAAAGGGATAATTCCTCTTAAATACACTGTCAGTGGTTAAGAGAAAATATCCAATGATGTCATCCAAAGAGCAAGACTGTCGTAATGATGCTGAGGAGAGCTACCCCATCTAATTTGCAATCAATTCAATTCAGTGCATTCCAAGAAACTGGTCCAAAGGGTACCATCACTACCGCAAGTATTTCCACACAAAAAGGCCAGACGTTCCCCTATAAGCGCATGAGTTCACTGTTTTCTATCGAGGCAGAACTGAGAGGTGCAGGGTGTTTTCACTACATTACTGACATATTTAACTTCAATTTCATAGACCGGGGCATAGAAAATGCTTGCCTTCACATCACCCCACGTGACAAGGAGAGGCATATGCAAGATGCCTCTATCCTACCGCCGTATTTATAGATTAACGCCAACTGAATTCTCTACAGTGATAGATAACAGATCCGACCTTAAAGTCGAGAGTTTTCTTCTAAAAAAACACTGTATTTTGTGGGTTGGGGGGTGTCATTTTGTGGCCTAGCGCCTGCCTAGCACACACGAGGCCCAGGGTTCCGTTCCAGCTCTGTCAATACACTTATATTCTAGTAATTTAATTGTATCACCTTATGCTGCATTATAGTAAAATGAAGGCTACCATACACTGAGTTTGTGGATTAAAAAAAAAAAAAAGCCTGCATAGACAGCAAACATCATCGGGTGAGTGGAGGAGACCGAGTCCCCCTTTTAAAGAGCGCCAATCAAGGGGAACACAATGGGTTCGATGAGCTCTAACACTTCAGACACCACCACGGCTCACGCGGCCCCCAGCAGGGCTCGGAACCCGGCCGGGAGGAGAAAGGTCCGATGATGTCATCCTTAGGTCCTCCCCCGAGATGAGCCTAACCTCGGGCCTTTAAAGGGGACCGTTTTCCGCGCGCCGGAGGCCGGGGCCGCCCGCGCCGCACCTGCTCCCGCACCGGGGCGGCCCGCGCCTCCCGCCCCGCCCGCCCGCCAGCCCGCCGGCCCTCCGCCCGCCCGGGGGAGACAATACATTTTAACGCCGTTGGCGCTGCTGCGCGGCGGCTTCTCGGACTCGGCGGGGTGCGGGTCTCGCCGCGGCTCGGCCGGCTGCTGCTGCGGACCGTCGTCACCGGCGGCCGCCTCGGGCTTGTCGGCATCGGCCATCCCGCCGCGGGCTCCGCCTCGGCCGCGCTGAGGGCTCCGAGCGCTACAATGGCGGCGGCCGGCGGAGCGGTAACGGACCGCGATTTGAAAAGGCCCCGAGCGCTCGGCGGCCCGGATCTCGCGAGAGCGAGCGGACGAGGCCCCGCGACTTAGGGAGCGAGCGGGGGGCGGGGCTCCTGCGCGGCCACCTGCGGAGAGCGCGCCGGCAGGCAAGGGGCGCGGGCGTGGGGGTCCTCAGGGGGAGGGGCGATTGGATACAGGAAGTACGCCAGCGTCGTCTCTGGTGCTCTACGTAGCCGCCGCGCCCCCGAGTCACGCGGAGACCTTCAGTCCGGTACCTCCGTGAGTGGTGGCCGCGCCAATTGACTACTTTCTTTGAGGTCTGAAGATCTCTGTAGACCTTAGCAATCAGCTAGGAAGTTGAAGTTTCTAAATTCTCGAGGCAGCAGCCTTGTGGACAATCTGTAATTTTCTTAAGAACTGTTGTACAAGGAGCCCGGAGGGAGAGCCCCACAGTTAGGATAACGTGCTACTCCTGCAGAGGACCCAGGTTCGGTTCCCAGCACCCACGTGGAGGAGCGCCAACTCCCTCTTCTGACCCCACAGGCACTAGGCGTGCACTTGATGCACGTGTAAATAGATGCAAGCAAGCAAAACACGTACTCGTTGAATAAAAGTAAATATTTATCAAAGTCGGGCGGTGGTGGTGCACGCCTTTAATCCCGTCAACCCGGAGGTAGAGACGGGCGGATCTCTGTGAGTTCAAGGTCAGCCTGGTCTACTGGAGCGAGTTCACGCCAGTTGATGCTGTTACACAGTAAAACCCTGTCTCGAAACAAAGAATTTTTCAAGATTAGCTACAAATGTACATTCTGGGTTTTGGTTATAGATTTTTTTCCTTATGAAAACACAAATTTAACTTCAGTGCTATAATTGGACTTGACACGAAAGTGATCTTTTCAGTTGAAAAATTCAAAGACCACTCCAAATGTTTCCTTCCATTAAAAAGTGAGTGGCATACTGCAAGCATATTTTACAAGCGATGAAAAGCTCTATAAAATGCTGCCTTTAGGGCACTGTCCACATAGAGTCCTAACACAGGAGTTGCTACTGCCCTCAGTTTGTGTTTCTCTCCCGTCAACCCTGGGGGCTAGTGTTTGCAGTTAGATAGGTACTGGGACGGAATCAGGTCGGGACATTCAGAGCTGGAGCCCACCTCTGCGCTTTCTGCTTCTAACACCTTGGGTAAGTCTCCTCACTTCTCAACCTCCCTCGCAGCAAGGATAGCAATACCTCCCTTGCAGGGAAAGGATTTAAAGAAAGCTTTCACAGAGGAGCCAAGTGCTACAGATGGTTAAATTGCAATACCTTTCCAGGTATTCGTCATCCCGTTATTCTTTTGCTGTAAACCAAATTGCTTGGTGTTTTATCACAGAGACAAAGAAGCATGGAGACCTTGCCTGGGGGTGGGAAATAAAAAGAAGAAAGATCACACCATGATCACACACACACACACACACACACACGTGCACACACAGACACAATCAGCAAAACCGAACATATGACAAATTAAATGGTTGAATTTGAATGCACTAAGATTCTAAACAAAGTGTTTACTGATCTAAGACTATATCTCAGTGGGAGAGCTCTTGTCTAACAGGGTTCAACCCACAGTACTGTACCCTGTTCTGTTTTGCAGTTCGTACTATGGTGGAAATACAGATGCTTATCACTAAATAGTAGAAAGAAACATCTGAACTACTTCCTAATGCCTTAGCTTTCATCAGCCTACCTTTACCTCAGTGCCACCCAGTAACTCCACCCAAAGGCAGATTAGAGTGAGTTCTGGAGAGGCCTGCTCACTTTCCTTTGCACAGGAAGAGACACTCCCTTTTCCTAACACGTGGGAGAATTGGGCTTCCTCCATCCCAAGCCATGGATATCAAATGGTAACCATTTTGTCTGGCACCCTCACTCATTGTTGTGGTCTTTAATTTAAATATTTATATTTTTACAGCATTGTTTTCAATTTTTAATTATAACATTTAGAAGAGAAAATAATACTTCTTAGATGATGATTTGTGAGGTCCAATCCCTACACTGGTCTGAATATTTGGAAATAATCGTTAGAAGCTGATAGAGAAGATAGCCATCCTCTTTTTAATCTGCTGATAGGAAATGTAGTGACAATGATAATTACTAGAAGTCCATGCTTCCTCCTCTGTTTGCAGCTACATGTACCTTAGAGGGTATATTTCTGGTCAGTAAAATCTAAGAGAAATGTTGAGCCGGGCGGTGGTAGTGCACGCCTTTAATCCCAGCACTCGGGAGGCAGAGACAGGCGGATCTCTGTGAGTTCGAGGCCAGCCTGGTCTACAAGTGCTAGTTCCAGGACAGGATCCAAAGCTACGGAGAAACCCTGTCTCGAAAAATAAAAATAAAAAAATAAAAGAATGGCTGAGAAACGTTGAATAGACCCTGTAGGAGAGTCTTAGAGGAAAGTCATTTAACAAGAACTGTGGTCCCTCCAACCTCTTTTGTCTCCCCCTGTCATTGGCTTAGAATAGAGAAATTACGTTTACTGCAACGATTACTTTGTAGGACCCAGAAAGTGACCTCATAACTGGAAACTAAGGATGAGGAGCAACAGTAACTACCCTGGCATCCTAACGCCCGCCTTGCTTTCTACAGTGACTAACAAATGCTCACCCTGATTAAACTGCTGCTTCTCGGCATCTTCCGATTAGGCACAACTGAGCTGGATGAGGATAGCTGTCGATGGAAAGGACTGATTTGCTTAATAGCTTCTTCTATATGATGGTCTAAAATGGTTTTCTGGTGGTACCACTCACGTGTGTTTGACCTGTTCTTTGCTTTATGTAATAGAATACTGCAAGTTCCCCGTCTTATGTCCATCCTCTGCTCTCCTTACCGGATAGAAGCAGCCTTGCTTTGAGTGACACCGGGCCTAGGTAAACGATGCGCATGCGCACATGACACAGCTCTTTCTGAGTTGTGAGGCACAGTATTCAAGGGATTCTGGAAGTGCCTATTTCCTGACAAGTTCTTAGCTTTTCTTCCTCCCTGTGGGGTCGGAAAGTTGAGCATGCATCTACATGGAAACCGTGATTCAACAACCTTAGGGCAGATGGACATGTGAACAGCTGCAGAGGAAGAAGACCTGAAACTCTGTTGACGTCAGAGAGCCCCTGTATAAGCCTTTGACTGCTCATAACCAGGCATCGTGTTTGGGGACCAAAAGAACTTTTCTTTGAGTACAGTTAAATTTCTGAAGGAGTTGAGCTCCATCGCAGCCATTTCAACAGAGGCATTCATTACTGACAGACACTTATGGGTACACTTGGCTGGAAGCAATGGTCTTACAGGAGTGTACAGATGTGACTTGTCTCGCAGTGCATTACAGAGGAGTAGGTTGAATTTATTTCAACTCACAGGCCATTTAAATATGTAAAAATTATACAAAACTGTGTGATGTGAATAAAAACAAACTTGATAGCGTGTATTTCCACTGTTTTCATTTCTGTGTCGGGTGTCAGCCATTTAGACATGTCCTAGGAGGAAGGCCCTCCTTCTGGGCCCTATAGGCTTTCATGACAACTGGCTGGGCTGGGAGAGCAGAAGTTGGGGAGTTATTGCTAGAGCTTGGAAAATTAGAAGGGGCAGGAATGGAGAGGACTCTCCAGCATTAGCCCCTGTGAACTGTGAAAGTCTGAACACCCCTAATGCCCAGCAACACCCCTTCTGCCCTTTGCTGTGACCACTAAGTTACCTGCAGCAGCTGTGGGGTCAAATGGCTTCTCCTCTCCCTTCTCAAAAAGTTGCAACACTGTTGCTCATTGGCAGAATTTATATTGGAATACAACTAGAGACAGATTTTTGGCAATGCTGAATCATCAAGAGTCCTATGTAGCCCAATTTCCTAGCCACTTAGCATAGTCCCTGATATATAAACACACACACACAAAGGTGTTTACAAACTAAAGCTAGCGGTAACATAATTAAAGAATGAAAGCTAAAATGAGTTTATGATGTTTTTAGATTTCACAAATTTGACTAAGAACAAACATAATAATGGGAAGATAAGGTATGAAAAGCTCATACAAAGAGAAGGAAAAATTATGAAATAGGAATTTTCAAGATAGCCGAGGGGAAAGGGGGATGCAGGAATGTGACCTGGGCATCAGACTGACATCCTCAGAACTTACCTCATTTGGCTCTGTAGCTGGACTTAGAGTTCAGCTATTTTTTAACTTGGTAGTCAAAACTTAACATACTGGGGTGGGGGACAATGATTTTCCTCAATCTGTTGACATCCCTACTTGTCAGTTATGTATTAACTGACTGATGCTTTGGAATCATATACTGTAACAGAAAAAGGATGGGCTTTTGAAATAATTTCAGTCAGTTCCTACTATTCATGGCTCAAAAATTTGCAGAGACTGTGTTGAAAGTAACATATTCTATTTAACAATGCGCATAGAAAAGAGCTTGAATTATGGTTTAAATGAGACTATTTAGAAGCATGTGGAGAGTAAAATTAAAACCAATTGAATAAAACTTCATTTTAATCATCACTTGGAGCTGAAACATTGGGTGCATCTATCTTTGCCGAAAGAATTTCTAGCAAAATGTAATACTGTCAATGAGACTCATCAGATAGGCCAGACTTAGGTCATTATCCACACGGGAGTACCTTCAGCTCATTTCATTTACGAGTCCACCCGGATAATCTCTTCACTGTTGACAAAATCCAGTCATTCTGTTATCAAACTCTCCCGACCCATTTCAGCACTCACTACTCCTGAGACCCCAGATGACCTGGGGGGAGGAGGCTAAGAAGAAAAGAAAGAAAGGAAGCTAATAGTGTGATAAACAACAACAACAAAACCCACAGAACTTTAAAGCACTCAATACTGAGCTGAGAAACTTGAGATGAGCGCCTGGCCTGCTCCATTTATTCGTCTTGGAAGCTTTTAATTGGCCCTCTTGAATTACACTGGGATGATAGGAATGAACCTCTAGAAAGTACGGAATGTGCCTGCATTGGGAGCAGATATCTGCAATTGTGTCTTTTTTTTTTTTTTTTTTTGGAGAAGTAGCAGATACTGCTTACTAAAATTTCAAAAACATTCCAAACCCTTCCTCCAAAAAGATTAAAATAATTTATGAAGTGTAAAGGTAAAAACGACATTCAAGATTGAGAGGAAAATATTTTTAAAATCAATCAACTTCAAAATACAAATGATTATCTAAATGCTTTCTAACAATCACAAGATTATTAAAATTTTAAATGTAAAAAATAAATCGAATAAAGTAACTATACCAAAATTATCTATATGTTTCTTCAGCATATTAATTTTTGTTACTCAATGTTTGCGTTAACTGTACTACGTAATAAAAAATTCTATTTGAAGACTCTTCATATTTCAGCCATCAACCAGAAAATGTGGATTCTGCAAAGAAGAAGAAAGCAGCATCTTGGCTCTACTGTGACTCCAGGAAGCCATCCTGTGGGCGCATATTTCGATATGCCACAAAAGCCATTGCCCCGGTTTGAGCTGATACATAGCTCTGCAGACAAGCTGTCTGCCCTTAACAAAAGCCAGAATGCCTTGCTCCTAGCTTCTTTTATTAAAGTGTGGATTACCTGAGAAGAGGTGTTGACTGAAACTGGTCAGGATGTTTGGGGTTTCTTTCCTTATGCAATTTGAAGGTTATCTTATAGAGATGCTAATTCAGGACCTACCTGACTGCTAGATGCAGACGTGATGAGAGCCCAGGCACCTGGTTGCCTAGGCAACAGCCTTTGTGTTCCTGCTCATTTGGTGTGAGTATATAAGATGTTTGGACAATAAAGGAGTCTGGCCTTTTCCATGATGACGGTGTAAGCTGTGTCTGATTATTCCTCACGACTCCGTTCCAGCCAAGTTAGAAAGTCTGTGTTGGACCCAAACGGGCTCCGACACCATCCCAATATAAAAACCTTGGGTGCAAAAATTACCAGTGAAAAGGCTCCAGGCAAGCAAGACCTCCCTAGGAAGGACCCTAGACTGATTCAGTAGAAGAAGGTCTTGCTTTCTCTTTTATTGCAATGCAGTCTTGCTAGACTACATTCTGAGTGAGGCTGTCCTCTGTGCTTGCTAATTCCTGTAAGTTATCACATCTTTTTACAAGGTAGAAACGAACACTTCCCAGGTCTGGGGAGTTGGCTTGGTTGCAAAGTTGAATTATGATGTGAATGGGGGGACCCGAATTTGAATCCTCTGCATACATGCAAAAGCGGGGTGGGGGGGTGATGGCACATGTCTGTAGCTCCAGTGCTGAGGAGGGGGAGTCAGGAGGATCCCTGGAGCACATTGACCAGCCAGCCTAGCTGAGTCTGAGTTCCAGGTTCAAT